CCTTTTGTATAAAGGCAAATGGGACAAAACAGTGTAAAAATTATATGGGAATAAGCAATTGAGTATACCTGGTAAAGTGTATGGTAGAGTTATTATTGAAAGAATTAAAAGTAACAGAAAGCATGATGGCAAATGAACAAGGAGACTTTAGGAAGGGTAGAGGGTGTGTAGACCAAGTGTTTACAGTGAAGCATATATATGAGCAACTGCCCAGGGAGGTACTACCGTCCTGCCAAGTGAGTGTAAAACGTAAGCCTGTAATTGTTTTACATGATGGTAGGACTGCTGGTGTCCATTTTTCGGTCTCATTAACATGCAAGGTTTCAGGTATGTCGTGCTACTTCTACTCACACTTAGGTCATACTACACATACATGTTTTTTTTTTTTTTTCAACAAGTCGGCCGTCTCCCACCAAGGCAGGGTGACCCAAAAAAGAAAGAAAATCCCCAAAAAGAAAATACTTTCATCATCATTCAACACTTTCACCACACTCGCACATTATCACTGTTTTTGCAGAGGTGCTCAGAATACAACAGTTTAGAAGCATACACATATAAAGATACACAACATATCCCTCCAAACTGCCAATATCCCAAACCTTTTAAAGTGCAGGCATTGTACTTCCCATTTCCAGGACTCAAGTCCGACTATATGAAATTAAGCGGTTTCCCTGAATCCCTTCACTAAATATTACCCTGCTCACACTCCAACAGATCGTCAGGTCCCAAGTACCATTCGTCTCCATTCACTCCTATCTAACACGCTCACGCACGCTTGCTGGAAGTCCAAGCCCCTTGCCCACAAACCCTCCTTTACCCCCTCTCTCCAACCCTTTCGAGGACGACCCCTACCCCGCCTTCCTTCCCCTATAGATTTATATGTTTTCCATGTCATCCTACTTTGATCCATTCTCTCTAAATGACCAAACCACCTCAACAACCCCTCTTCTGCCCTCTGACTAATACTTTTATTAACTCCACACCTTTTCCTAATTTCCACACTCCGAATTTTCTGCATAATATTTACACCACACATTGCCCTTAGACAGGACATCTCCACTGCCTCCAACCGTCTCCTCGCTGCTGCATTTACCACCCAAGCTTCACACCCATATAAGAGTGTTGGTACTACTATACTTTCATACATTCCCTTCTTTGCCTCCATAGATAACGTTTTTTGACTCCACATATACCTCAACGCACCACTCGCCTTTTTTCCCTCATCAATTCTATGATTAACCTCATCCTTCATAAATCCATCCGCCGACACGTCAACTCCCAAGTATCTGAAAACATTCACTTCTTCCATACGACTCCTCCCCAATTTGATATCCAATTTTTCTTTATCTAAATCATTTGACACCCTCATCACTTTACTCTTTTCTATGTTCACTTTCAACTTTCTACCTTTACACACATTCCCAAACTCATCCACTAACCTTTGCAATTTTTCTTCAGAATCTCCCATAAGCACAGTATCATCAGCAAAAAGTAACTGTGTCAATTCCCATTTTGAATTTGATTCCCCAAAATTTAATCCCACCCCTCCCCTGAACACCCTAGCATTTACTTCCTTTACAACCCCATCTATAAATATATTAAACAACCATGGAGACATTACACATCCCTGTCTAAGACCTACTTTTACCGGGAAGTAGTCTCCCTCTCTTCTACACACCCTAACCTGAGCCTCACTATCCTCATAAAAACTCTTTACAGCATTTAATAACTTACCACCTATTCCATATACTTGCAACATCTGCCACATTGCTCCCCTATCCACCATCATATGCCTTTTCTAAATCCATAAATGCAATAAAAACTTCCCTACCTTTATCTAAATACTGTTCACATTTATGCTTCAATGTAAACACTTGATCTACACATCCCCTACCCACTCTGAAACCTCCTTGCTCATCCGCAATCCTACATTCTGTCTTACCTCTAATTCTTTCAATTATAACCCTACCGTACACTTTTCCTGGTATACTCAGTAAACTTATTCCTCAATAATTTTTACAGTATACTCAGTAAACTTATTCCTCAATAATTTTTACAGTCTCTTTTGTCCCCTTTCCCTTTATATAAAGGGACTATACATGCTCTCCACCAATCCCTAGGTACCTTCCCCTCTTTCATACATTTATTAAACAAAAGTACCAACCATTCCAACACTATATCCCCCCCCTGCTTTTAACATTTGTGTCATGATCCCATCAGTTCCAGCTGCTTTACCCCCTTTCATTTTACGTAATGCCTCACGTACCTCCCCCACACTTACATTCTGCTTTTCTTCACTCCTAAAAGATGGTATACCTCCCTGACCAGTGCATGAAATTACTGCCTCTTTTTTCTTCCTTAACATTTAAAATTTCCCTCAAAATATTCTCGCCATCTACCTAATACCTCCATCTCCCCATCTACTAACTCCCCTACTCTGTTTTTAACTGACAAATCCATACTTTCCCTAGGCTTTCTTAACTTCTTTAACTCACTCCAAAATTTTTTCTTATTTTCATTAAAATTCTTGACAGTGCCTCTCCCACTCTTTCATCTGCTCTCCTTTGCACTCTCTCCCCACTCTCTTTACCTTTCTTTTACTCTCCATATACTCTGCTCTTCTTATAACACTTATGCTTTGTAAAAACCTCTCATAAGCTAACCTTTTTCTCTTATCACACCCTTTACTTCATCATTCCACCAATCACTCCTTTTTCCCTCCTGCCCCCACCCTCCTATAACCACAAACTTCTGCCCCACATTCTAATACTGCATTTTTTTAAAACTATTCCAACCCCCTTCAACCCCCCCCACTACTCATCTTTGCACTAGTCCACCTTTCTGCCAATAGTCGCTTATATCTCACCCATACAAGCATATATATATATATACACCCCTCTGGGTTTTCTCCTGTTTTCTTTATAGTTCTTGTTCTTGTTTATTTCCTCTTACCTCCATGGGGAAGTGGAACAGAATTATTCTTCCATAAGCCATGCGTGTTGTAAGAGGCAACTAAAATCCCAGGAGCAAGGCTAGTAACCCCTTCTCCTGTATATATTACTAAATGTAAAAGGAGAAACTTTCGTTTTTCCTTTTGGGCCACCCCGCCTTGGTGGGATATGGCCAGTGTTGAAAGAAGAAAGATATATGTGAGCAGTATTTAGATATAAGTATAAGTTTTTGTTGCATTTATGGATTTGGAAAAGGCATATGATAGGGTGGATAGGGGAGCAATGTGGCAGATGTTGCAAATGTATGGAATAGGTGGTAAGTTACTGAAAGCTGTTTTTTATGAGGATAGCGAGTCTCAGGGTAGAGCGCATAGGAGAGAGGGAGATTATTTGTCAGTAAAACTATGCCTTAGACAAGGACGCATGATGTCACTATGGTTGTTCAATATATTTATAGATGGGATTGTAAGAAGTGATTGCTCGGATGATGGCAAGAGGTATGGGATTAAGAGAGAAAGAACCTAACACAAAGTGGGAGCTGTCACAGTTGCTTTTTGCTGATGACACTGTGCTTTTGGGAGATTCTGAAGAGAAGTTGCAAAGGTTGGTGAACAAGCTTGGGAAGGCATGTAAAAGAAGGAAATTAAAAGTGAATGTAGGAAAGAGCAAGGTGATGAGAGAAAAAAAAAAAAAAAGGTAATAACAGATTGCACATTAGACTGGAGGGAGTATGGAGGAAGTGAATGTATTCAGATATCTGGGAGTGGAATTGTCAGCAAATGGGTCTATGAAAGGTGAGGTGAATCATAAAACTGATGAGCAAAAAAGGTGAGTGGAGGACTGAGGAGTCTGTGAAGATGATCATCATCATCCATGGTAGCAAAGAGGGAAATATATGAGAGTATAATTTTACCAATGCTCTTATATGGGCATGAAGCATGGGTGATAAATGTTGCAACAAGGAGAAGGCTGGAGGCAGTGGAGATGTCATGTCTGAGGACAATGTGCAGTGTGAATATAATGCAAAAAATCCATAGCTTGGAGATTAGGAACAGGTGTAGGGTTTCCAAAAGTATTATCCAGAGGGCAAAGGAAGGGTTGTTAAGGTGGTTTGGACATTTAGAGATGATGAAACAAAATAGAATGACTGAGGGAATATAAATATGTATTGGAAGGAAGGCAGGGTAGGGGTCATCCTAGGAAAGGTTGGAGGGAGGATGTAAAGGTTTTGTATGGGGGGCCTGGACTTCCAGCACGTGTGTGTGAGCGTGTTAGGTAGAAGCGAGTGGTGACTAATGCGTTTTATGACCTGACATGCCATTGGAGTGTGTGTGCAAAGTAACATTTATGAAGGGATTCAGGGAAACTGGTTAGCTGGACTTGAGTCCTGGAGGTGGAAAGTACAGTGCCTGCACTGCTTGCCTCTGGCAAGAGTGATGGAATGAATGATCAAATTTTTTTTTTTTGGGTCACCCTACCTTAGTGGGAAACGGCCAATGTGTTTATAAAAAAAAAATTCTGCTAGTTCTGGAGCTGACAAAATAAGCCTGGTAAAACAATGCCTGCACTTTAAAGGAGGGGTTTGGGCTATTGGCTGTTTGAAGTGACATCAAAACTGTCATATCTGGGCACTTCTGCAAAGACAGTGATTGTGTGTGAAAGATGGTGAAAGCTTTTTCTTTTTTAGGTTACCCTGCTTCAGTGGGAAATGGCCAGCATGTTAAAAAAAAAAAAAAGCTAAAAATACAAAAAATTAAGAGAGTCCAAGTGGTGATAAATGATTTATAGGACTTGAAGTGCTGTTGGGATGTGAGCAAGGTAACATTTATGACTGGAATCAGGAAAGCTGGCTAGCAGTTCAGGAGGTTGGAAGTACAGTACCTGCGATGTTTTAGACAGGGTGGGGATGTTGATGTTCTAAGAGCCATCAGAATTGTGATGACGTACTTTTGGTAAGACAGCGGTTAATGAATGAATGGTAATTTTTTGGGGGGAGGGTGGGTAACCTACCTTGATGGGAGTTGGTTAATGAAAAACAATTTTACTAACTTCCAGATACTAGAGCTCCAGTAGGAGGAACTGTTGGAGGTGCAGGTGTTGGCTGCACTGGTCCCATAGAAGGCATTACCCCATACTGATTCATCATAGCAGGTGCCTAAAAGGAAAAGATATGACAATTACTAAATGAAAGCTGTAATGCAAGGAAAGCTTGAGTAAGTAACTCAGTATCTATGTAGTAGGCCATTTAATTCTCAGCTACAGTTGGAGGCACTAACCTGAGGTTAAGGATCAACACTTCCACCTAATGAGAGTTTTCTCTTTAAATTCACTAAGCAGCACCGATCCATTTTGTCCTTTCTTGGATACTGCTTTCATAGTCTATTTTTTCATCACTTTCTAATTACATATGTACACACTTGTAAAATACAGTAATGGAAAAAAAAAAATTGAATACCTGAATTTAACACATGAGGTATGGAAAAAAATGAAGGGGAGTAGTTTAAGATGGAATTGTTGATAAACAATTTAATTATGCAATTATGAAACCTCTGATATACTGCTGTGTGCATGCCTTGCTAGGGAGTGCTAAAGCTAGGTTTCCACGATACTAAACTCTGTATCCAAGTTAGTAATGATGGATGTCAATATCATTTGCTATGCCTTACAAAAAGTTTTTACAGCTGAAAAGGTTTATTCTCTAATAAGAATGTTAACAGGTAAGAGTATATAAATATAATAAACTCCAGAGTCCACAGTGTGCATACCATTGCAAGTATGTGTAGTGGAGGGTTGAAAAGGGATGGTATAGTTTTAAAAATGCAGTATTAGAATGTGGGGCAGAAGTTTGTGGTTTAGGAGGGTGGATGCAGGAAGAGAGAGGAGTGACTGGTGGAATGATGAAGTAAAGGGTGTGATAAAAGAGAAAAAGGTATCTTATGAGAGGTTTTTACAAAGCAGAAGCAATATAAGAAGGGCAGAGTATATGGAGAGTAAAAGAAAGGTGAAGAGAGTGGTGAGAGTGCAAAAGGAGAGCAAATGATAAGAGTGGGAGAGGCAGTGTCAAAAAATTCTGCTGAAAATAAGAAAAAATTTTGGACTGAAATAAACAACTTAAGAAAGCCTAGGGAATGCATGGATTTGTCAGTTAAAAACAGAGTAGGGGAGTTAGTTGATGGGGAACTGGAGGTACATATTGGGTAGACGGTGGGAATACTTTGAGGAACTTTTAAATGTCAATGACGAAAGGGAGGCAGTAATTTCATGCACTGACCAGGGAGGTATAACATCTTTTAGGAGTGAAGAAGAGCAGGATTTGAGTGAGGAAGGTGCATGAGGCATTATGTAGAATGAAAGGGGTTAAAGCAGCTGTAACTGACAGGATCATGACAGAAATGTTAAAAGCAGGGGGGATATAGTGTTGGAGTGGTTGGTTTTTTTTAATATACGTGTATGTATGAAAGAGGGGGGAAGGTACCTAGGTATTGGCAGAGAACGTGCATAGTTCCTTTATATAAAGGGAAGGGAGACAAGAGAAATTGTAAAAATTATAGGGGAATAAGTTTACTGAGTCTAGTTAGTAGGATGGTAGACAGCAACCACCCAGGGAGGTATTACCGTCCTGCCAAGTGAGTAAAACGAAAGCCTGTAATTGTTTTACATGATGGTAGGACTGCTGGTGTCTTTTTTCTGTCTCATAAACATGCAAGATTTCAGATACGTCTTGCTACTTCTACTTACACTTCGGTCACACTACACGTGCATGTACAAGCATATATATGCACACCCCTCTGGGTTTTCTTCTATTTTCTTACTAGTTCTTGTTTATTTCCTCATTTCCATGGGGAAGTGGAACAGAATTCTTCCTCAGTAAGCCATGCCTGTTGTAAGAGGCGACTAAAATGCCGGGAGCAAGGGGCTAGTAACCCCTTCTCCTGTACCTATTACTAAATGTAAAAGAAGAAACTTTAGTTTTTCCTTTTGGGCCACCCTGCCTCGGTGGGATACGGCAGTTGCGTTGAAAGAAAAAAGAAAAAAGTTTACCAGTATACCAGGTAAGTGTATGGTAGGGTTATTACTAAAAGAATTAGAGGTAAGACAGAGTAGGATTGCAGATGAGCAAGGAGGCTTTAGAGTGGGTATGGGATGTGTAGATCATGTGTTTACATTGAAGCATATATGTCAACAGTATTTAGATAAAGGTAGAGAAGTTTTCATTACATTTATGGATTTAGAAAAGGCATATGATAGAGTGGATAGGAAAGCAATGTGGTAGATGTTACAATTGTATGGAATAGCTACTAAGCTACTAAGTGCTGTAGTTTTTATGAGGATAGTGAGGCTCAGGTTAGGGTGTGCAGGAGAGAGGGAGAATACTTCCCGGTAAAAGTACGTCTTAGACAGGGATGTGTAATGTCACTATGGTTGTTTAATATATTTATAGATGGGGTTGTAAAAGAAGTAAATACTAGGGTGTTGGGGAGAAGGGTAGGATTAAATTATGGGGAATCAAATACACAAGTTACTTTTTGTTGATGATAGCATGCTTTTGGGAGATTCTAAAGTTGCAAAGGTTAGTGGATGAGTTCTGGAAGGTGTGTAAAGGTAAAAAGTTGAAAGTGAACATAGAAGAGAAAGGTGATGGGGGTATCAAATGATTTAGATAAAGAAAAATTGGATATCACATTGGAGAGAGAGAGTATGGAAGAAGAACATTTTCAGATATTTGGGAATTGACTTGTCAGCAGATGGGTTTATGAGATGAGGTTAACCATAGAATTGATGACTGAAAAACGGTGAGTGTGCGTTGAGGTAACTGTGGAGATAAAAAAAAAACATTATCCATGGAGGCAAAGAAGGGAATGTGCGAGAGTATAGTGGTACCAACACACTAAGATGGGTGTGAAGCTTGGGTTGTAAATACTGCAGCGAGGAGGTGGCTGGAGGCAGTGGAGATGTCATGTCTAAGGGCAATGTGTGGTGTAAATATTATACACAGAATTTGGAGTGTGGAAATTAGGAGGTGTGGAGTTACTAAAAGTCATTTAGAAAGAATGGAACAAAGTAGAATGACTTGAACAGTGTATAAATCTGTAGGGAAAGGAAAGTGGGGTAGGGGTTGTCCTTGAAAAGGTTGGAGGGAGGGGGTTAAGGATGTTTTGTGGGCAAGAGGCTTCGACTTCCAGCAAACATGCGCGAGCGTGTTAGATAGGAGTGAATGGAGACGAATGGTTTTTGGGACTTGACGAGCTGATGGAAAACTGGTTAGCCGAACTTGAGTCCTAGAAATGGGAAGAACAATGCCTGCACTTTAAAGGAGGGGTTTGAGATATTGGCAGTTTGGAGGGACCTCTAAACTGTTGTATCTGAGTGCCTCTGCAAAGACAGTGATTATATACGAGTGATGGTGAAAGTTCTGAATGATGATGAAAGTATTTTTGTTTTTGTTTTTTTCTTTCTTTTTGGGTTACCCTGCCTCGGTGGGAAATGGCCAATGTTAAATTTTTTTTTTTTCAACAAGTCGGCCGTCTCCCACCGAGGCAGGGTGACTCAAAAAAAGAAAGAAAATCCCCAAAAAGAAAATGCTTTCATCATCATTCAACACTTTCACCTCACTCACACATAATCACTGTTTTTGCAGAGGTGCTCAGAACACAACAGTTTGGAAGCATATACATATAAAGATACACAACATATCCCTCCAAACTGCTAATATCCCAAAACCAGTCCTTCAGAGTGCAGGCATTGTACTTCCCAATTCCAGGACTCAAGTCCGGCTATATAAAAATAACCGGTTTCCCTGAATCCCTTCACTAAATATTACCCTGCTCACACTTCAACAGATCGTCAGGTCCCAAATACTATTCGTCTCCATTCACTCCTATCGAACACACTCATGCACGCCTGCTGGAAGTCCAAGCCCCTCGCCCACAAAACCTCCCTTACCCCTTCCTTCCAACCTTTTTGAGGACGGCCCCTACCCCGCCTTCCTTCTCCTACAGATTTAAATGCTCTCCATGTCATTCTACTTTGATCCATTCTCTCTAAATGACCAAACCACCTCAACAACCCCTCTTCAGCCTTCTGACTAATACTTTTATTAACTCCACACCTTCTCCTAATTACCACACTCCGAATTTTCTGCATAATATTTACACCGCACATTGCCCTTAGACAGGACATCTCCACTGCCTCCAACCGCCTCCTTGCTGCTGCATTCACAACCCAAGCTTCACACCCATATAAGAGTGTTGGTACTACTATACTTTAATACATTCCCTTCTTTGCCTCCATAAATAATGTTTTTTGACTCCACATATACCTCAATGCACCACTCACCTTTTTTCCCTCATCAATTCTATGATTAACCTCATCCTTCATAAATCCATCCGCCGACACGTCAACTCCCAAGTATCTGAAAACATTCACTTCTTCTATACTCCTCCTCACCAATTTGATATCCAATTTTTCTTTATCTAAATCATTTGATACCCTCATCACCTTACTCTTTTCTATGTTCACTTTCAACTTTCTACCTTTACACACACTCCCAAACTCATCTACTAACCTTTGCAATTTTTATTTAGAATCTCCCATAAGCACAGTATCATCAGCAAAAAGTAACAGAGAAATTCCCATTTTGTATTAGATTCCCTATAATTTAATCCCACCCCTCTCCCGAACACCCTAGCATTTACCTCTTTTACAACCCCATCTATAAATATATTAAACAACCATGGTGATATTACACATCCCTGTCTAAGACCTACTTTTACCGTGAAGTAGTCTCCCTCTCTTCTACACACCCTAACCCGAGCCACACTATCCGCATAAAAACTCTTTACAGCATTTAGTAACTTGCCACCTATTCCACATACTTGCAACATCTACCACATTGCTTTCCTATCCACTCTATCGCATACCTTTTCTAAATCCATAAATGCATTAAAAACTTCCCTACCTTTACCTAAATACTGTTCACATATATGCTTCAATGTAAACACTTGATCTACACATCCCCTACCCACTCTGAAACCTCCTTGCTCATCCGCAATCCTACATTCTGTCTTACCTCTAATTCTTTCAATTATGACCCTACCATACACTTTTCCTGGTATACTCAGTAAACTTATTCCTCTATAATTTTTACAATCTCTTTTGTCCCCCTTCCCTTTATATAAAGGGACTATACATGCTCTCTGCCAATCCCTAGGTACCTTCCCCTCTTTCATACATTTATTAAACTAGAGTACCAACCACTCCAACATTATATCCCCCCTGCTTTTAACATTTGTGTCATGATCCCATCAGTACCAGCTGCTTTACCCCCATTTCATTCAACGTAATGCCTCACGTACCTCCCCCACATTTATATTCTGCTCTTCTTCACTCCTAAAAGATGGTATACCTCCCTGGCCAGTGCATGAAATTACCGCCTCCCTTTCTTCCTCAACATTTAAAAGTTCCTCAAAATATTCTTGCCATCTACCTAATACCTTCCTCTCCCCATCTACTAACTCCCCTACTCTGTTTTTAACTGACAAATCCATACATTACCTAGGCTTTCTTAACTTGTTTAACTCACTCCAAAATTTTTTCTTATTTTCATTAAAATTTCTTGACAGTGCCTCTCCCACTCTATCAATTGCTCTCCTTTTGCACTCTCTCACCACTCTCTTCACCTTTCTTTTACTCTCCATATACTCTGCTCTTCTTATAACACATCTGCTTTGTAAAAACCTCTCATAAGCTAACCGTTTCTCTTTTATCACACCCTTTACTTCATTCCACCAATCACTCGTCTTTCCTCCTGCCCCCACCCTCCTATAACCACAAGCTTCTGCCCCACATTCTAATACTGCATTTTTAAAACTCATCCAACCCTCTTCAACCCCCCCATTACTCATCTTTGCACTAGCCCACCTTTCTGCCAACAGTCGCTTATATCTCACCCGAAGTTCCTCCTCTCTTAGTTTATACACTTTCACTTCCCTCCTACTTGTTGTTGCCACCTTCCTCTTGTCCCATCTACCTCTTACTCTAACTGTAGCTACAACTAAATAATGATCCGATATATCAGTTGCCCCTCTATAAACATGTACATCCTAGAGCCTACCCATCAACCTTTTATCCACCAACATATAATCTAACAAACTACTTTCATTATGTGCTGCATCATACCTTGTACAGGTCTCCCTCAACATTCACGTTTTCAACTTTAACGGGCTTCACACATTCGCGAATTCCCAACCGCTGAATTCCCAGCCACCAAATTCCCAGCCGCCAAATCATATTTAAGTTTCCCGCCACCTGCGAGTCCCTACTACCCTCCCTCCGACCCCCGCAACTGGCAGCCAGCCCTCCCACCACTCAGTGTGGTGAGTGTTTTGTTTATTCATTATTTGCTATTAAACTACAGTATAAATAATGTAAACCCATTCATGACTGCATATTGGAATGGCTATTAGGAAAGGTATTAGACGGTGACATCATGTGTTTACTCTTGAACACTGCAAAGAATTAAACATTTCTGCTACAGCTAATAATAACAATAGTAATAACAACAATAATAATAATAATAATAATAATAATAATAATAATAATAATAATAATAATAATAATAATAATAATAGTAATAATAGTAATAATAAATATGATATAATTGAAGAAGGAAATTGTACAAAAATATGAGGGATTGGTTGACACATCGTCAGTGTGACTTTGTTTATGCTGGAGTGAACATTAGTCTCCCTGCTCTTCCAAACATTTCACAATAATTCATTGTGTTTGGTGCTTGTAGATTGAGTGTGACTGGAGTGGTAGAGACAGTGATTGAGGCAATGGTATTTAATAACATACATGTTAATAATAATAAATGTTATTAATAATATGTACTATTATTATTTATAACATATATGTTATTAAATACCACTGCCTCAACTGCTGAATTATTGTGAAATGTTTGGAAGAGCAGGGAGACTAATGTTTACTCCAGCATAAACAGTCACACTGACGATGTGTCAACCACTCCCTCGTATTTTTGTACAATTTCCTTCTTCAATTATATCGTATGTATTATTATTATTATTATAATTATTACTATTGTTATTATTAGCAATAGCAGAAATGTTCAATTCTTTGCTGTGTTCAAGAGTAAACACATGATGTCACTGTCTAATACCTTTCCTAATAGCCATTCCAATATGCAGTCATGAATGGGTTTACATTATTTATTCTGTAGTTTAATAGCAAATAATGAACAAACAAAACACTCACCACACAGTGGTGGGAGGGCTGGCTGCCAGTTGCGGGGGTTGGAGGGAGGGTAGTAGGGACTCGCATTGGTGGAGTCGGTGGTATTTAATAACATACATGTTATTAATATACATGTTATTAAATAACATACGTTATTAAAGCATAACATGTATATATTTAGTACAATTTACGACGTTTTCATGTATTTTATGATTATTCATGGTTCAACAAGTTAAGGAAGCAGTATTGTAATATATTTCCCTACAATATATTGGGGCACCAAACATTCACGGTTTTTCAACATTCGCGAGGCTCTTGATCCCCTAACCCTCGCGAATGTTGAGGGAGACCTGTATATTTATTTATCCTCTTTTTCATAAAATATGTATTACTTATTACCAAATCTCTTTCTACACACAGCTCAATTAAAGGCTCCCCATTTACATTTACCCCTGGCACCCCAAATTTACCTACTACTCCCTCCACAACATTTTTACCCACTTCAGCATTGAAATCCCCAACCACAAGTACTCTCACACTTGGTCCAAAACTTCCCACGCATTCACTCAACATTTCCCAAAATCTCTCTCTCTCCTCTACACTTCTCTCTTCTCCAGGTGCATATACGCTTACTATAACCCACTTTTCACATCCAACCTTTATTTTACTCCACATAATCCTTGAATTAATACATTTATAGTCCCTCTTTTCCTACCATATCTTATCCTTCAATATTATTGCTACTCCTTCTTTAGCTCTAACTATTTGAAACCCCTGACCTAATACCATTTATTCCTCTCCACTCGAACTCTCCCACCCCGTTCAGCTTTGTTTCACTTAAAGCCAGGACATCCAGCTTCTTCTCATTCATAACATCCACAATCATCTCTTTCTTATCATTTGCACAACATCCACGCACATTCAGACTTCCCACTTTGACAATTTTCTTCTTATTCTTTTTAGTAATCTTTACAGGAAAAGGGGTTACTAGCCCATTGTTCCCGGCATTTTAGTTGACTTTTACAACACGCATGGCTTACGGAGGAAAGATTCTTATTCCACTTCCCCATGGATATAAAAGGAAAAGTAACAAGACCAAGAACTATTAAGATAAAATTAAAGAAAACTCAGATGAGTGTGTATAAATAAACGTGTACATGTATGTGTAGTGTGACCTAAGTGTAAGTAGAATTATCAAGACATACCTGTAATCTTGCATATTTATGAGACACCAGCAATCCTACCATCATGTAAAACAATTACAGGCTTTCGTTTTACACTCACTTGGCAGGACGGTAGTACCTCCCTGGGTGGTTGCTGTCTACCAACCTACTACCTACTTTATTGCTTGTGATTTACAATGAAACATTATTATATGCCAATAATAATTTACTGAGCAAATGAGTTGCACAGTTGCTAATTTATAATTAAGATTACTGGAAACAGGAGTATAGTTGAAAATAGGCAAAGTTCATGACTTATCGGTACTTAATGAAGTCTTTGTCATAAAGATTGTGAAGCTCATAGTTTCCACTTCCTGGTCTCGAGCCAAGCCTCCTGACTGGTTAGCTTAGACTTGGGTATCTCATTCTCCCAATATACATTAAAGTATTCAATAACAACAGTTACCTGTGGTACCGGTGGTGCTACAGGAAGTGGGCTGTAGAAGCCAGGTGAGGGTGTTAAAAGAGCAGGCTGTGCAGAGCTTTGATCCCCATATATTGAGCGCTGCTGATCTTGCACAGAGAGCGTATACTGAGTTGGCTGCAGAAAAATACAATTCACATTCAAGTAAAGTGATCAAAACATCAGTGTAGGTTCTGAACTTTTATTTTAACGTCACTGTGGGTTTTGAACTCTTATTCAGAGTTTCTTGATTTAGGTTTGTGTATCATTTAGAATATCTTTTGCTTTAACAGATATTCTACTAGAATAAACTGGACACAAACATTTTGTATGGAAAAAGTTCAGTTGTTGCTCAAAATTTACTCCCAAATACAAACACTTCCACTGATACCTAAACAACTAAAAGTGACTTTATAATAGTCAGTAAATATTAAAGATAAAGATTTATTTTTTTTGTAAAGGTTACAATGTGTAATTACAATTTTGGTTTGCTAAGTACAAAGAAAGCCACTATCATGCTGGGACATTTCGGGCAGACTAATCCTAGTACTCAGTAACTACTTATAACTAGACAAGATAACAGTACACAGTAACTACTTAAAACTAATTTAACAAATTTAATTCCAAGTACCATGGTATTACAAAATGTCAAATATCTTTTTTTTTTAATGTACCATACTAAAAAATCACTCAAATGGCAAACTATAAATTTAAAAGAAAATATACAAATAACACAATTCAAACCTACATAGAAGCAGTAAAAAAAAAAATAAAAAATAAAAATATATTAAACTATAGCCTCTCCTCGTTAGCGACGTACAGTGGACCCCCGCATAGCGACTTTAATCCGTGCAAGAGGGCTCATTGTTATGCGAAATGATCGATATGCGAATGAATTGTCCCCATAAGAAATAATGGAAATCAAATTAATCTGTGCAAGACACCCAAAAGTATGAAAAAAAAATTTTTACCACATGAAATATACATTTTCCTACACACAAAGAGAAGGATACATGCACAATAGTAGAGTAGTACATGCACAATATATATTGTGCATGTACTACTCTACTAAATGAAGAATAAATGACACTTACCTTTATTGAAGATGCAGCAATGACTGATGAGACACTGTGTCCTGGGAGTGCCTTTTCCTCCTGAGTACTGTAGGTACTGTTTGGCATTTTCTTCCAGAACAGGCCTTATCACACTGTGTATGCCACTACGATTCTTAAATCTCTCAAACCAACCTTTGCTGGCTTTAAATTCACCAATATGAACACTAGTTCCAGGCATTTTTCCCTGTTCACCTGGGTGTTAGTCGACTGGTGTGGGTTGCATCCTGGGAGACAAGATTAAGGACCCCAATGGAAATAAGTTACACAGTCTTCGATGACACTGACTTTTTTGAGTTATCCTGGGTGGCAAATCCTCTGGGGTTAATTGTTTCTTGGTATTCTCAATAAGCCACACCAACAACGGTGCTACAGCAGCAGCAGCAGCAGCAGCAGCAGCAGCAGCTGACAGTGCTACAGCAGCAGCAGCAGCAGCAGCTGACAGTGCTACAGCAGCAGCAGACGATGCTACAGCAGCAGCAGACGGTACTACAGCAGCAGCTGACGGTGGTACAGCAGCAGCAGCAGCTGACAGTGCTACAGCAGCAGCAGACGATGCTACAGTAGCAGCAGACGGTACTACAGCAGCAGCAGACGGTACTACAGCAGCAGCAGCAGCAGCTGACGGTGGTACAACAGCAGCAGCAGCTGACGGTGCTACAGCAGCAGCAGCAGCTGACAGTGCAGCAGCAGCAGCTGACGGTGGTACAGCAGCAGCAGCAGCTGTACCACCAATAGTAGCGATGGTTGATTGGGGTTTATTATACAACCTGGCCAGCTCGGAGACACGCACTCCACTTTCATACTTATCAATGATCTTTTTCTTCATCTCTATAGTAATTCTCACCCTTATTGCTGTAGGGTTGGCACTAGAAGCTTTCTTGGGGCCCATGGTCACTTATTTTGCAGATAAAATCACCAAAAACACTGTAATAATACGAAATGTTCCGATTGTATGCTTGGATGTTACCGCGGAGGCTGGCTGGTAAACAATGCCACCGGCGGCACATGTGAGGCTGGCTAAGGGCGCACATTGGATGCGTTTCGGACGAAGAGCGGTGAGCGGGTTTTTGAGCGGTATGCGAGGCAAAATTTTTGCGATAAAAGCGAGCGGTATGCGGATTAAACGTTATGTGATGCCGACGGTATGCAGGGGTCCACTGTACTCGTTTATCAACGCCTCGGATTTATGACGGGCTCTCTGACCAGTATGCATACCTAAATAGTGGACCCTCACCTAACGAACGCATCGCATAACGTTAAATTCGCCTAACGATATATTTTAACGCTAACATTTTGCCTCGGCTAATGCTAAAAAACTCGCCTAACGATACTCGTTCTAGCGTACCAATTAATATCGTTAGGTGAGGGGTCCACTGTACTGTATATTAGAGCTGATTTCCTCTATTCTGTTTATTACAATATACAGTACACTACTGTATAAACATTATACAGAAATGTTATAAACAGTGCAAAGGTGACATTAATAAAACATGAAAAATGTTCGACACAAACTCTCTACGATTATCGTATGCTCCTCACTTAGCGACGAATTTGTTTACTGATGTGGTCTTAGGAACGAAATTCAGTTAAGTGAGGAGAGGCTGTATATTACAAAGTTGAATAGCTAGCTAAACTGAGGATACAGTTCTGCTATAATATTTTTCACATTTTCCCAAATTAAATATTTTAATTATTAATGACAAAAGCACTTCTACACAAGTCACAGAAAAAATTCATCCTCTACCCAATTACAGTATAACATTAACCCGAGGACACCATGATGCATAGTACATGGGATAATAATTACACACAAAATTGCACTTAATTTTTTCTAGCAACATTTTGCTAAAACAATATAAAGCAATATCGAAGTTAATTTTATTACACGATACAGTCACATTTCCATAGATATTTGCTAATGTTGTCTAATAAATTATGTGCCCCTAGCTAAACTTTCAAATTTTATTAAATTATGTGGTTAATATCTTTAGTAATTTAGTAACAAATTTTTAATTAGTGAATTCTCTTAACGTCGTAATACAGCATCTCCTCACTTTATGACGGAGTTCCGTTCCTAAGACCACGTCGTTAAACGAATTCATCTCTAAGTTAGGAGCATACTATAATTGCTAGTGGGTTTGTGTCAACCATCTTTGATAATGTTTTAATGTCACTTTTGCACCATTTATAACATTTCCGGTATATTTTTAAATGTTTAAACAGTGGCATTCTGTACAATGAAATAAACATAATAGAGGAAATCAGCTCAAGCATACATTATTTAGGTATAAATACTGGTCAGAGAGCCTGTCATAAGTCCAAGGCGTTGGTAAACGAGTACGTCACTAAGTGAGGAGAGGCTGAATTGTAAACAAGGTTAAACAAAATGCAACCTTCCTCTTAATTGCTATAATTAAATGTTTATTTTACTTTTTTGGAAAGTTCCATCTAAAGCAGCAAGCTTACAAATATACTGTACAATAAAATAAAAGGAAATGAATACTGCCACTGTGATGAATACAATGGGAAAAAACAACAAATGAAAATGTGTGTGTATGAAAGCATGAGAGGGGGTCAGGGGAGAATAAGGGAGGAGAGGAGACAGGGAGGAAGGAGACAGAGAACAAGACAGGACGAGTGAGAGGGGAAAGTAGTGGTAGCGGTTGTAATAATAATATTATAAATTAATAAATATAAAAAGAAAAACTTTTATTTCTTCTTTTTCAAGTCACCCTGCCTTGGTGGGAGACGACCTGTATTAAAAAAAAATTGGGGAGTTTGTTATTCTTGAGCTTCTGTTCTTTCAAGAAATTCAGAAGCACTTGCACACCAAGCCATTAATGCAACAACAATGCTGAAAATTACTAAGGTCTATAAACAAATAACTTGAATTTAGGAGACAAACTGATAACGACTTTTTGATCTGATTTGGACCATTAACAAGCCACAGAGAACCAAGAAGGGAAGGAAGCCAGAACATATATGAGAGGGGGATGGGAGTTGTAGAACAGAAGGTAGTAGTAGTAGAGGTAGGTCATGATTATCAGGATCATAAGATCAACAGCACGAGGCACAATCTGTCTAAAAGAGTGTGGTAATTTTCAGAAACATTCCCAAGCCCAATGTGAAAGGTACAAAAATATCAGCAAGATACTTGGGGTCATTAAACTTAATCTCTAATTATTAGTAATCAAAGCTTAAATTAAATTCCTGTCTTGATAGAATGCCAATGCAGCTCATACCAGTAAGGACCACAGTAGTTAGGCAAACCTACAAACATCTGCAACATCCCCAAAACCATCTCCAAATAATCAAGAAACTCAAGGAATGTCAATGCCCTGAGTATGCTATCAGCTCTAAACACCACACCGGAGTTGGAAAAGCTAACGTAGAAAAAAAATATGTACTAAACTACCAACGAATATCCCTCTTATTTATACAATGTAGGGATGAAGAAAAAAAAAAAAAGCTTCATCAAAGATCAACATCACAGGTTCAAGGACAATTATGTTTCTGAACTTTTATATTCAACAATATTTTATATATTAGTAAAAGGGGGTTGGAGGTGAAGAGACAATCTTATGACAGGATCACAAAAGACAGGATGATGGAAAAGATGCGTGAATTACATATTTTCTGGACTGTCAAAAGGGTTTTTAACAGTATCTAAAACAGGAAACTAACACAAACAAAAAACCAGGATAATATATCAGCAGATAGAAAATATCATGCTAGGGAGAGGTAACAAGTAGAATTTCCCACAGATCAGCACTCACTGATCTTTATAGACAACATGACACAGTGGAAATAGAAAAGCCCTGCAAAAAAAAAATACAGGACAAACTACAGAAAAGGTTCAGTAAGCTGCTACTCTATTCAAGTAATAATAAATGAAGATAGTGAAATTGGAGAAGGGAGAACAAAAGTACTTAGTATGTCCAGGTGGATTAAGACACTGAAAGGGATGGAACCAAAATGAGGAAATAAATGTAGACTTGGTACCCAAATAAGAAAGATGTGAAA